GCCTTTCTACTTCACCACATGTAATGGTTTTCTTTACCTTTTTCTCACAGCAAAAGAAAACATGAGGCTTTCCTATGTGCCTAATCACAGCTAAGCACAGACTATCTGAAGTGAGGGAGTAGCAAATAGTTGTCCCTTCTGTTTCCTCATCCAGTGGCAGCCTGGATCTGTGTTTGATTTTTCTCTGAAGAGTAAACTTCTCTGTAGTGTTTAAAGGCCTGAGCCCATGCTGCCTTGTTTATTTCTGTTTTAAAAAAACCAAAACACTGAAGAGTTCTGAAGGAGTTGCACCAACTGGTGCAATAGTGCTAATTATGATTTGTAGAGGAAGCTTCTATGAAATTTATAGTTGTTTTTAGTGCTGAAGTCAGCAATGTTTCAGATCTCTGATAAAGAATGTAATGAAGCTTTCTCCAGCTCAGACAAATACACTTTGCAGCAGATGTTTTGAACCCCACTTTTTGCTCATCTAAAATCATAGGTTTAGTTCAAGAGTCAAATGCAAAGAAAATGTGGAAAAGAAGTACTTTGGGAAGAAACAAAACAGACTGACAAATCTAGAAGGGTGATACTTCATGTGGTGGCTTAGGAAGGCAAAATCTAGTGTTGAACTAATTCAGCTTTTCTAGCAAAATCTACTGAGGTCCATTTCACCAGCCAGAGCAACAAAGTGTGTTCAGCAGACTTGCAGCTGAGGTCTTTCTCTTCAAGGCTGGAATTTTATTTTCTTTGAAGTAGCCTAACAAAAGGTCCACAAGTAAATCATGTTGTTCCTGCTATCCCAAGATCTCTTGCATGAGCTTTGCATTTGCCTGAACGCTAAGGTGCTCTGTGGTGAGTTCTGCTGGAGCTCCCTCCCATGTAACTGGCTCAGGGTCGTCTTTCACACTCTGCTCCTCAGTGCTCACACCCCTGCCCTGTCACAGAGAAAGAAAATCTTGTACACCTTTCTAGTTTGGTCTGCAGACTCGGCTGTTCTTTAAGCACTAGATGTGAACCCCAGCTAGCTCTGAGCTGCTGTCTTCCAGCACATGAGCCCACTGCTCCCTTCACCCTCTGTATCATGGACATTCATCTGAAAGTCGTCTTGTGCCTTTTGAAAAGGACAGGTTACCCAGAGACCATGCCACACAGAGCCATCGTTCCGAAAAACAATTTTCATATCTGCATTTCTTTCATTTTCCTGCCACACCTCTCCGCTCTAGTACCATTTCCTCATGTCCCCAGAGGAGATTTCAGAACAAGAACACATTACACATCCCTAAGACTGTGCATGACTTTGGGAAATGGAAAACCTACCCTCTTTATTCAGAGAAATGAAACTTTTAAGCTGTAAGGAACTATCCTTTATGAAGTCCCCTGTCTTTTCATTATGAAGAAAGAGAAATAAGTGTTGCCTTGACAGAAACAAGATAAATGCTTCTACTAGACCCATTTTAATACTCAACACCTTATAAAGATATAGATTTGTGTGAACTACTCTAGCCATTCACCTGTTCAACGCTGATTTTCCTTGATTACCAGTTTAGATAGAAAAGTAAAGACCCAGCTATCAAAAAGCAAAAGCTGGTGAGAACACAGGTCAGCTATAATATAAACAGACAACCAGAAGCCTTCTGCTAAGAGGTATTAAAGACGTATTATTATTGGCATTCTTGTAGCCAGAGAAATATTGACATGTCATAAGCCATTCCAGCAGCTGTCAAGATACAATCAGCTGCTGTTCTTTGTTGTGAATTTTCTGTGCTCATTAGTGCTTCTTCTCCTCTTTGTTTCCTCCCAGCACTTTCAGAGTGGTTTTTTGGTGCATTCATCTTTCTGAATGTAAGTCATCCAGCATATTAGCTTTCTTTGAATGCAAAGAAGAGACAGTCCTCTTTCCTAAGGGGATCATGACCCTTGGAATCAGATACCTTACTTTTACAAATTAATAAGTAATTTTCAGTGGCTATTCTCTGCCCCCCCACCCCCCATGCCATCTTGGTGAACACTTTGCTGATAAATGTATTTGCTAGAATGTTCATTTTAGCAAAAACATAGGCAGCAAATCACAGAAGAGAACTTACGTAGCTGAAGCAAATATTTTTTTAAAAGCAAGTGAAAATTGGTTCCAGACTCTTTCTTTTTGCAGCATTGACACAGATTGAGTTTTTATTTAAAAACAATACCCCTGCAAATCTTCAGGTTAATGAACTGTTTCCATTTGCTCTCAAGAGGTGGTTTAAATGCAATGGGTACAGTACTATTTCACCAAGGATCATTCCACTATCTACATTTAATCCAGATATTCCAGATGATGGCTTTGTGAATTTGAATCAAAAAGTACTGTAGCAGACTGTCTGTACTACCAAAATAAATTAAGTCAGAAGTCAGATTAGACCAAAAATTGGGTGGAATCTCAGTAATTGCTTTTTAGTAATTTTCTCTCAGTTGACTACACTGATTGATGGAAGTTTCAGGTACTCGGTAATGGTTATTGTGGCTCAAATAGTAATAAAGATCTTTAAAAAAAAATCTGATGGTAAAAGTATTTTTTTAAAACTATTCTAAAAAAAGGAGCTGAAGTAGAAAGCAAACACAGAGTTTTGCAGAGGATGGAAATAGCCACTTGAATATGAATAAAATTATAAATCCTGATAAGGAAAGACCAGAAGACCAGTAAGACTGGAAGCTTGTAATAGTGATGTCAAACTCTCATGTCTTGAGAATACATTTGATTTATAAGGGACCAGACTACAAAAGGACCCATCTAGATAAACAACTACAATGAAAAAAAAACCCTTATTGTTTCATCAAAGGGAAACTTGCACCATCAACAGCTTGAGCTGGCAGGAACATGCTTCAGGGAAAGCTGAGTCATTCTTGCAGCCCCATGACTGTTTAAATTCCAGCTTACTCACCAGAGACACCAAAACACAGAAGTTGGTAAACAGAAGATAAGAGGATCAGAGAAAAATAGGGGAGCAAGAAACAAAGAGAAAAGGAATTGCTTTTTCTAGCTTTAAGCAAAATGTGCAGTGATTTCATTTCCACCTAAGGAGAAGTAATATTCTGCTTGACTGTTTCACAGAAACCCTTCATTGGTTTTATTTTGCATCTGCATCTCTGCCTGGCATTGTTCTTGATTAAAGGCTAGATTTATAAACTACAAATGAAATGGTTCACCAGGGCAGAAAGTTATACTTTGAATTTCAATCAAGTAACCTTCGAGGTTATGCACTTAAGCCTCTCTCCTCATTACAACAACATTCCCTGCTTTTGGACAATCTTTGTCTGTGTGTCCTAGTCACCAAACTTAAAAAATGGCAGCAGTGCAGAAAGCCCTAGATAGACCAGACTTAACCACATATTCTTTTGTGTAGGATTTTTGCCTTTATCTTTGAAAAACATATTGCAGACAGAAGCTGCCAGGGCTCAAGTTGAGAAGAGTAGGTCCTATTTCCTTTTAAAATGTTCTCCTTGGAAGTATCTCTTTGAACTCATCATCTTATTTTTACTGTTTTTACAGCTATGTGGAAAGGAATTTAACAGAATGCACAATTTAATGGGACACATGCACTTGCACTCGGACAGTAAGCCTTTCAAGTGCCTCTACTGCCCCAGCAAATTCACCTTGAAGGGGAACCTAACCAGGCACATGAAAGTCAAACATGGGGTCATGGAAAGAGGCTTTCATTCTCAAGGTAATATCTTTCAGCAAGGTTATTCTCTGAGAGATTTGAAGATGCATATCAGTAAACCCAAATGGGCTTTGTACCACAGATCCACAATCTTGTATGATAGATCCAATGCTGTTGGAAGAGATTGAATCCCATAAGTCTGGGACATTGTTATTAACTATCTATATTACTCCAGTGCTACAGATCAGAGTTCCCCAAGGTAGTGACCCTTGTCTCACAGACCTTTCAGACTAGATCTCTGATGACACAGAGGTATAGACAGAGATGGAGGAGTAGATGGAGACGAAATGAGACGGTATTTATGAGCACAAAGGAAATATTTTTAGTGCACTAAGTTGCTGTCATCAGGCATTAGGGAGAGTACGGTCAGTAGTGTGAGCGCAGAGGATTTATCAAGCCGTACCAAATGTGCTTGTACTTAAGCCCAGGGCTCTCCATCCATCACTGTGAGAAGGCTCAATATCCACAGCACCACAGATCTTCTTCCAGCATGTGGGTACCCTGAGACACAAATGGGAGTGAGCTGGTGGAGACTCAGCCTTAGTGAGGCTGTGGCACATTTAGTTGGCCAGGGGAATGATTGGATGACATGATCTTCCTGACTGAAGGTGTAGTTCCATTATTTTTTAATAAATGTTCCAGTTTCAAGGGGCTTGATTCCCAGAAACTGACAGACCAAGCCTAGCAGCCATGGACAAGAAGACAGACACATCTGGTTAGGAGTTTATAGTTTTATAGTGCTTGAGGTACATCATAAATCATAAATCCATTCAAAGCTGACAGAAGCAAAAAATCTAGAAGATTTCATGAGTCTTGCTCACTGCTTATTGGATTCCAGTCTGGAATGGGAATGGAAGACTGAATGACTCTACGTCCAGGAGCCTTGGTTGTTCTGTACCATATTGACATAGCTGACTCTAGGTGAAGGCCGTAGGCTCAAAACACAGTTTACAAAGAAGATGTGAACAGGAGGAGACACTCCTCCCCCATCTCAAAATATGTGGATTTTTGACTACCAAGGGTATCCTGCAAAGCATGTCCTATCTCCCACCTACCACATACACTTCCTAAAGTCAGCCTCATGTGTGCACACACACCAATGCTATCTAAAGAAGTGGGGGATTTAGGGAGGATTGTTTTAAGAATTCGAGTATCCAAGATATTTTGTTTGTTAAGACTTTCTGGATAAATAATTCTTTCACGGGTAAGATCTCCTGGTGTTCCTCAAATTCAAGCTTTAGGGCAGCCTAGCACATATGTAAAACACATACTGAATGACATTTGGCATAAAATTTACAAAGATGCTAACAGGTTATGAAATAAATGGCTCTTTTTTTCCTGTAAATCTCCTACAACACCATGGTAGTTACACAATTACTTGTAATTGAATTCAGCCTAAGAGCTTTTCAGCATACAGAGATTCTTCAGCCCTTGAGGCTTATCAGACACAAGACAATTTGTGAGGGCTGCCTCCTGCTTATGAACCATTTTAACAAATACAACCTGTTGCAAAGTAGCAGCTGTATCTAGTGAGGCTGCATAGATCCTGCAGAAACTGGATTCCATTAGTGAGGGAAAAATACAAACCAAACCAAACCAAAGCAAGTAATGAAGTGGCTTTTGTAGATATTTGCTATTGGGTGAAATCCTCACCCCAGTACTGTCACTGTTCTTTTAATTAAGATGGACTATGTTCTCAGTGCCTGAATCTTCTTCGGTGCATCCCAATGCTCAGAGCATATTTGAGTCCACAGATGCCTCCTGGGTAACGTCTGGATATCCAGCAACAGAGGATTATTAAGACAAACCAGATCTAGGACTACACTAGACTTATACTGCACTGCTCAAAATCATCATTTGTGTATAATAATTTCCTTCAAGCTGAAGCACTGTCTAGTGCATAGAGCTTTTCAGTGGCATGAGTGGCTTCTCAGTGGATGAAAGAGGAAAAACTAAGGAGAATAGGGGTCATAGACTGCTGAGACTTGATGGTCTTTTCATTTTTAAAGTAGCAACTTTGAACCAGAGTGTCCATAAAACAAACACATGAAGACGTTTTAATCTCTTCCACTCCTCTGGAAAAAAAAAAAAAAAAAAAAAAAGAAGTACAAAACCTGGGACTTTGATTATGTCCTGTGATGCTTTAGATCAAAGTTTTCATTTTAAAAAAAGAAAGAAGGAGCAAGTGGGTAGGTTCATGGGCAAAAATAGTTTACAAGAGGCTGGGCCACTTCACTTTTATTCCTAATTCCCTCATCAAGTGTCTGGCATGTACAGCACAATGTTTTGTGTGTCCTGACCTGGCTGTGAAGTGTATACAGTAGCACTTCTTTTAACAGCATCTCAAAGTAGATGTCATGAGATGTAAATAGTAAAGTACTTGGAGATAGCTGGGTGGAAGATGAAGGTAAAGTACGAAATAGAAGGCCGCTCACATTTTTAACCATGTATCATGTAGTACAATTTCCTATATATAAATTGTTCCTTTTCTCCTCCCCTCAAACCACTACAAGGTTTTGGAAGAGGAAGAATTACTCTGTCCCAGACAAATGTCTTGAGAAGCTTGGAACAGGAAGAGCCCTTTGATCTTTCCCAGAAAAGCCAAGGGAAGGGAATCTCATTTCATTCGGATGGCGAGAGTGCCAAGGGAAGCTCATGCCAGGAAGAAGACGACGACAACTGCTATGAGGCAGAGCGGTACAGCCCTGCCATGTACCACCATGAAGACAACAAGCTGTACATGGCTCAAGATCTGTCTGGCAAACCTGAGTGCATGATGAAGGCCTTCGGAGAGTCCTACTGCAATGAGAAGGAAGAAGTGCTAAGTGAGGGAGGACTGGAGAAGAGAATAGGAAATTCAGACAAACAGGAGAGCCAAGGAGAGAGAGACCTTGCAAACAACAAAGAGCACCTCAGCTTTAGATCCTTTGAAAAGGCCAGACTTGGCCACTCTCTCTCTGATTACTTGTATTTCAAGCACAGGAACAAGAGTTTGAAAGAATTGCTGGAAAGAAAAATGGAAAAACAAACAATGCTTATAGGCATTTAAAATGGACATTTTAAAACAGCTGGAAAATGGGAACCAGATAGCTTTTAACACAAACTGTAATTTACCAAAGCCTGGAATTTTGTAGTAGTCTTTAGAAATAAGCAAGCCAAATTAATAAAAATAATTTAAGGTAAAACATATACATTAAAAGAATAAAGCAGTCCAAGGTCACCAAGAAATGCAGGAGATATTGAACAGTAACATTTTCATACTATCCATTTGATGTATAAGCAGAAAATGGGGTGGGTACAGAAGTTTATTTTCCTTTACCTGGGGTGGTAGAGACTTATATGCAATTTTCTAGTTATCAAAAAGCAACATACTTTAGTGTTTGAGTTATTATCTGACTAAATATATATGAATACTTCTAACCATACATCTCAAAAAAAATCTGAAAACAGTAAATATTTCACAGTATAAGCAAGAGTACTCTTAAGCATTGCATGCATGAAAGTGCTGTCACTCTCAGAACTAACACAATCCAAATACTTTCATTTACTGAAGTGATCATTAGTTCAACAACTTAAAATGAGAAATGGAAACAAATTAAGAATAAATACTAGTGTCCTGTAAGATAGTGAAGGGCAGCTCTGTAAGGCTTTGAAAGGACTGGAATTTATTACAGTCACAGAAGCTTTTCCTCTGGTACAAGGGATGTTCATGCTTTGCAATGTTTCAGTCGGTATGGGAGTATTCGGCAGTTCTTCAAGTGAAATAGTATGGACTGTGTTGACATTTTGTTCTACTGTCTGCTCAGACCAATACATCTAATGAGCAGCAGCAGCATGTAGCATTTGCAAGTCTTGCTGTAATTACACATAAAGCAATATGAATAATTTCATTGAGAAAATGCAATTTTGCAGTTTATCTCTTCAGTTTCTCTTGGCTAGGAAGGATGACTTTGAAATACACAGGTCTGATCAGATTTAATTTTGGAAGGTATGCCAAAAAAAGAGCCCTTACAGTGCAAGCAGTACCTCACAGAGGAAAACTGGTTTGGGATTTTCTTTTATCAGTGTCAGAAATTTTCCCTTATCAATGTAGTTTGACCAGTAAGCTCCAGGCCTTTCAGAAGAATTCCACTCACGTTAGTTTTACTGAGTCATTCCCAACTTTTCATCCTCTGATTCCCATATAATTGTATGTTCATAACAAAGATGCTAAAAGCACATTCCATTAACTGCATGAATACTTTGATGAGCACCTTGATTCGTGCATCTTCAAGATAGATGACCAACAGCCCCACACCACCCTATTGCTTATAAGGAAATAAAGATTTAATAAGTCATTTAATTAGTCCTATGTCATTCTGATGTCCCAGCTCAAAAGGCTAAAATCCATATATGTGGTACATCTTTTCCAAATATTGCTACCTTCTTCACTTACCTGCCAAGTTCTTCATTTGAAATACCTTGCTATCATGCTCAATATATAGCAAGTTATAATTAAATATAGTCATATACTTATGGCTTGCTAAGGCTAGAGTCATGTAGCTGCAGTTCTCTGCCATTATAAGAAAACACTTACCTTACAAAACTAATGATTCTCATGCCTACCCATCAATCAGTGTTCACAGGGCAGCAGCCCTTATTCATCATATAAAACTGGGTTTGTGTAGTACGAGGTTGCAGAATATGGTTTCATTTTTCAGGGCTCAAACACAGCATAATAAAGATTCTGAATGAAGAGCAGAAAAAGCTGTTGACAAAAGAAGCTGAAACATATGGGTGACTCTTCTAAATGTAATTAACTCTAGAGCTGATGTACATACTTTTTTAAAATAAAAAGGGTATACCAAATTGAAGAGGAATGTAGGTCACTTTAGGCCTACAATTAATGATACCTTTCAAAATGAGGTGTATTTCAGAGGTACATAGATATGTTTTTTCCAGTGATGAACTGTTTTATCATATACATTCAACTTCATTGCTTCCACTGTGAGATACCTCCTCTTGAAAAAGAGGCCATCTTTCTTTCAAGGAAGACATTGTGGTCAGGCAGAACCACCAGAAAATTTTCAGAGTAATGTGTGTAACTGCATTCTTTCTTACACTAGAGGGGAAATGATTGGGTGGAAATTCAGCATGGTCTAGGATATTGTCTCTCAGAAATGGGAACAAGTCCTTCAGTTACCTTCTTGGCAGTATCTTGTGTCTGCCAGACAAAAGCTCCTATTTGAGAACATATACAGCCAAGAGCTGGGAGCCACTGACTCCTAGAAATGTCTATCTCAAGGTAGTGTAGTTTCCAGCTGTGCATGATTCAAGATCAGGCCACTCCACCTTTGTACCCACCTTAGTTCCTATGCAACTTCTAGAATAGTGATCATGCAGATGAGCTGAACTTAGCAAGCCCCTTCACTTCTATGGTGGGTAAAGCAGAAAGGCATGCAGCCTTCTATTGCAAAGCCCCGTTGCCTCTACATTGGTGTTAATGGACACCTAAACAATCCTTATCAAGAAAGAGACAAATGATTACATATCAACAGCACGCCAGGCAAATGGAGCAAAGGAGACATTTTCAGCAGAGCTCAGCTCCCACTAGATAACATTGTAACCACAAAGATGATGTCTACTGGAAGGATGCAGTCCAGAGCTCCCTTACAGAGCTTGTAAGGGAAAATGCCAGGCGTGTCCTTAGGAAAGGAAATCACTGCAAACAGTTCTGGGTTGTCTGCATGGTTAACCCAGACACTTTCAACCACACCTTCACTGCAGCCAACTTATCCACTTCTACAATCCCATTTCTCACTGGAGCAAAAACAACTGCCAACCACATACAGCCAGGTGGAAAGGAGTAGAGGTCCCAGAATGGCAATGCTATTTGGGAATAATTCATACTATGAATCCCTTTTCTTGCATTCTTCCTAGAAAGTGGAGAATACTCCATTACAATGAAGCCTTGAGACTGTGCCCAGTCACATAGTCACACTAAGCTAATTCACAAACACCCAAGGCTAATTCATGTTAGAATAGTAAAGAACTCATCTAGAACTGTAAGTCACCAGTCAGAGAAATTGCAAACAAAACTATTACTGAGATAAGGAGACAGTGCCAAGTGACCCAAGCAAAGAGATTAGGAGATGATAGTCCTCCCTACTGCAGAACATAATGCAGCTGTGTCTAAGACATTTGTTACAAAGAGGCCCCAAGGCACGAATTAAAGTGAAATAACAGCCTTCACTGTGAAACACCTTGCTTTTCAAACATCAGTTATTTTCATGTTATTTACATTGGCATCGTTTTGGGAACAGACAGTAACAGCCTTTGCTTTTTAATAGCTTTGAAAATGCTTTATAGAAATTTGTTCTCATAATGAAGTTATTTCCCACTTCTAATTTTTGAGGGATTAGCTTCCTTGTTCTGCTTTGAATAGAGGCTCAGAAGTCCTGTAGAGACATTGCCTGTCCCCTGAACCTTGGGGGACACATTTTCTTTTTTTCCTCCTTCCTAATCTAGCTACCTTGTTCTTGCTATGTTGTGGAAAAAAATGTATTTATTTGACTCTTCTCTGCTATTTGGGTTTTCAGCTTGCAGTAACACATGAAATTAAGGCCCACTCTCCACCACCTCTATATTAAATCACATCCATACCATTTCCCTGCATTATTACATGAAGCCTAACTTCATCCTCTTGGAGAACATCAGAGCAAATAAGAGTTGCCACAAACTCATAAAACTGAGATGGTTTCCAAACTGATACAAACTGAGATGGTTCAAGAAGATATGCTGGGGAAAGATAAATTTGCCACCCCATAATGAGTCTAGGCAAGTGAAGGCATGTGGTTTGTTAAATTAGAGGTTTTCTGTTGTTAAGGGCAGCAGGGGGAATTCTGCAAGACACTGTACAGACCACAGTAGATGGATGAAAAGTCAAAAGCTGGGTTAGTACAATTTGAGGGTAAAGAAATGTAATGTACTTAGTGAGAAAGCGAAGTTGTAGGTAACCCTGGAAGAAGCTGGTTTGAGTCTGGCCACCGGGACTCAGCCATCTCCTTGTGAACCTGAGTTCTGGTTGCTGGGCAGCCTCCAGTCTGTGAAAGCAAAGACAGGTGCTCTGTGTGCAGCAGCTCAAGTGATAAAACACTTTATGATAATATTATAATAGAATTTTATCCTGTGCTGTGTCCTATAAGAAAAATTACTGGAAAGACCAAGTAAGGATACTGCACCCACCTTTTTACAACTCTGTATTAATCTACTAGCTATTCTCCGATTTCTCTCTTCATACGGTGCTGCTGGACTCTGCTGTTATGAGTGTAGAGTTAAGAAGTAATATAAGTATTATATTTATTAGTCCAAGAAGTTTTTAATAATAATTAACAGTTTTGAAAATAAGTCATGTCTGCTTAGCTGAACAAGATGTAACAGAGCTAACATTTTGTACTTCTAACAGATTCTGCAAATAATGTTGTGTATATTTATTTCACATAGAACACTGGGTTCTATTTAAATCTGCAACTTAAAAAATGGACCAACTATGTGAATGTTTAGTTTCTGGCTTTCTATCTCAATAGTAAAAGCATGTATGATGTACTGTATTAATTTAAGCAAATAAATATGTACTGGAGAAGCTGCTGTACTTTGTATTGAAATGGATCTGGAGTTCTTGGCACTCTAGTTATTTTACATAGTAACTGGATGGGGCTGGTCTGACAAGGTCAGACTTCACTCAGCACTACTGAAGAGTGGTCCTTGTAAAGGGAAGCCTGAACCAATGGTGGAGGACTAGTTAGAAGACAAGGGCAGAAGAGCTGCCAGGTCCTCTGAGATAGAGAAATCACTTTATTATTACAGGTTGCAGGGAGGATATAAAGAATGCTCTGGAAAGATTATAGTATTTGTTAACTTGGCCTCAGACAAGCTAAAAAAGAAAGATGTAATCCTTATCTTAAAGATGTTTCAAGGGTCTGCATCATGTAAAAAGAGAAGAAAAACCAACCAGATATTATAAGATCGAGGTTAAGAAAGTAGGAATGGCTTTATAACTTAAGGAGTAAGCAGAAGACTCTGAGCTCAGAGGATCAGCGTTTCTTTTTCTAATGGA